GGGCGCGTGGCGGGGTCGTGAGTGGGGCGGGGGGGGGGGGGGGGGGGGGGGGGGGGGGGGGGGGGGGGGCCACGGTTTTTTTTTTTATGAGAGTAGTAAATAATTTATGATGGATATTTTTAACACCATTATGCGTAGTTTCTTAATATAAAGTTATAAATAAATTGATCCGAATGATTCTACTTATGAAAATTTTTTCTCTCTTCCGGATTTTATTTTTTTTTTTGAATAAAAAAAAAAAAAAATATTTCATATTTCTATTTTAGGTTAACATTTTACTTGTCAACTTTACAAACCAAAAATTTTTATTTTAAATATATTTGGATTTCTTTTTTTTTTTTTAAAAAAAAAAATTCCTCTAAAAATTAAAAATATTAAGACAAAAGATGTTTCATAATGCATATTTGAAGTTAGCAAATGCGTTAAGTTCTCCGCTAAGAAGACCTCCTTCACTAAATTTTAAAAGATTTTTTTCACCGATATCAACATCACGACCATTTTTCTTTTCACAGCAACCTTTTCCAACTTCAACCCCTAAAAAACAACGGCGAAATTTTTTTGGATTCTCCGATATCTTATCATCAAAAAAATCCTATAATGGACATAAAGTTGTTGGGTTTGTGTCATCAAATGGTATTAACCCTTTTTTTGTTAGGTGCAAAAAAAAACATTTTTCCATTTTATTCATTAATATAATATATATTTTTTTGTTATACCATGAAATTTAGGTATACACAAAAACAGCTTTATGATGTTGTATCAAATATTGACGAATATCATCTTTTCATCCCATACTGTACAAATTCAGAGGTGTTAAAGTCACATTCTGTTGATAAAAGGACCAAAATTCTTACAGCAGCGTTAGGTGTAGGATTTAAAGGATTTTCGGAGACGTATTTATCTGAAGTCACTTGTGAAAGGCCAAGATTTGTCCAGGTAATTAAACAGATAAAAAAATATATATACATAGAATAAACATATAAATTAATTCACCTTCCAAAATTAGGCGGTGGCATCGTCGGATGCACTATTTAGCCATTTAATATCCGTGTGGCAATTTGCACCACATAATGAATTACCGTCAACACATTGTTATTTGGACTTTCATTTAGAATTTGAGTTCACTTCACCTTTACATGCTCAAGTTGCTAATGTTTTCTTTGACCAAGTTAGTGCGTTGATGATTGATGCTTTTGAGGAAAGGTGTAACCAAGTATACGGACCACCTGCTCCTTCTATCGAAGATTATTAAAAAGAACAATTAGATTAGACAAGAACTTTTAATCCTTGTAAAGATTTTTTTTAAAAAAAGACATTTTGATAAATAAATTCCATGGATTCTTTTTAAAAATGTTCTTTTAGTATTCAGCTTACAATGAACTTCTTATAATGATCTGCTGTAATTAAACTAATAAATTCTTTTCCTTCCAAAAAAATTTAAGTGGAAAATGTTTTTTAATTTTATTGTAAAATTATTAATTTGCTAAAAGGAGTAAATTTTTTAAATATAAGGGACCAAACTTTATTTAATTTTGTATACATTTTGGTGATTTTTTTATTATTGCAATGAGATAGTGTTACTATTTTAAAACGGTTTTTAAATTAGTTGCAGATTTGTTGATTTATAGATAAATCAGGATAAAGATTTGCATGTACAGTATATGACATCATTCGAACTTAATCGCGAATTCCCTAGATTTACATTTACTTTTTTGGTACCTGATTCATTGAAAAAATTTTTTAATTTTAAAAAATGACAAACTATGTTTTCTATTTATTTTTTTTTATTACGTAATTTATTAATGATTATTAATCATTTATTTGTAACACTAAAATAGAAAACTAAGAATGGACAAGATTACGTGAGATTTACACGTCTAATTTAATATACTGTACTTACCGGAATTGGATCAAAAGTAAAAATTTGTAAAAGTTTGAAAGTAATTTGATCACCGAATTTTTATTGTAAGTTTAGCGTGAGGCGCAAAATCATCTAAAAGAAAGAAGAAAGAAAGGTAATTAATGTATAAATAATGAAATAATGAATATATTCTATATTTGTCTATAATTCTATGAAATGTGTGTATATTAAATTGAATTCTATAATTAAAATATTAAATAGTATGAGTAATTATTATCTTAGATAATTATGTATTAATTAATTCTAATCTATAATATAATTTTTCAAAATTTTCACGAAAGTGAACATTTGAGTCCCTCCAAGTTTTAGCAGCGATATAAGCCAGCTCACAAGACAACTCTTTAGATAACTCTTCTTTTAGATTAATATTTATTAATTCAAAAAACAGATCAAACGCTCCTTCCAATTTTATGAGACGTTTATTTAATAACGATTTCGTTTTTTTAAATGGTGGGGTTTTAATTGTGATTTTGATTCCATTCGAAAATACTAAATCAAAATTATTATAATTTGGCGATATTAAATCGGTTAATGAAGGTGCGCTGAATGCGCGTGTTGATGAAGGTGAGTTCTTAAAAAGATCCATTACTCTTTTAAGATATCTCTTAAGTGACCTTAAAATCTGTTTCATTTTGAAAATTGTGTTTTATAATCGAAAATTTTAAAGGTAAATCAAACATTTTCTTTTTTTTTGGTCTTGAGAAGGTAAAAAATTGTCTATATGTCTATAAATTTTTCTTGATTTTTTTTTTTTTTGGTCTTGTGAAGGTAAAATTGTCTATACGTCCATAAATTTTTTTTGATCGGATGTAGTCATAAAAATTTTTTGAGTTGTCTATTTATAATTTTTTTTTTCATTAATGCATGAATAAAGCAATTAAAAGACATTCTTGATTCATGTTTCTTGGAAAGGTATTATACTTTGCATTACATATCATACTTTAAATATATATATATATATATATATATATATATATATATATAATGCATTACTTTCATCAAGTCACCTTCCTTCTATGAAGGAATAATTATTCTTTTATTGTAAAATAATAGACATTTGCTAATATTAACATTAAATTAACGTTAACATTGTCGGATGATGAAATTCTATTTATTACATTCAATGTTTGATCGCAAAAAAAAAAAATCTACTTTACATTTAAACATTGCATTCATTATTATTGACATATATGGCTCAATTTCATAAAAAAAAAAAAAACGTGGTCGTTTCTATGATAACATAAAAAAATCAGAACTGTTAAGAATATAAAAAAACAAAGAATTCACAAAACGTAATGAACTCAAAACGTAATGAACGGAATGCGGAAGAAATATTCTTGGAAAGAATGAATCGGATGTGGCAGTACGTTTAAGCCCGTTCACATGACGCTTAAACACACAATTATATAATTTTTCTAATTATACAAAATCCTTTAATTAGAATATTGATAAAGAGATCACGAGGTAATAACGGAATTTTTGAATGAATCCATTCCAAGCCTTTTGGAATTCAAAAAGGTTAAGATTACCTCATTACATATTGTAGCACATGACATGTATCGTGGCTTGGTAGTTCCACCTGATTATTGTATATCATATTACCAAATTTGGATATATTCTAGAACGTTATAAAACCAATTCGATCTTCTTATAATGAATACGTGACGATTATTACGACGTGCGTTTAATGTGGTGGAAGTTTCATCCCATTATTCCTTGCGAACAATTTCTTTAGAATGGATATTACTAAGTCGAGAAGTAGATTATGAAGTTGCATGTGCATACAGTACATTATATAACCATGAATCTATAAATATAACAATTATTTATAAAAGTCTAATAAAGGCTTTTAATGGCCATCCTTGTACTTCCTTAATGTAATTGTTTGCTTTCGTATAAATGTTATCGTTCCATTCCTATTCATCCTTTCAGATAGCTAAGGTAGTTAAGAAAGGCTAAGGTAGTTAAGAAAGAATTTGAAAAAAAAGAACGTTGCGAATATACACGAACTTTCTATTTATATTAAATTGAATTTAAATAATTTGAAATTCTGTCTTACCTTAATTTTACCTAATCTTGATTTTTTTTTCTATTATTAAAACCAGTTTGAAAAAATTATTATATATAGAATGGATTTTGCCAAATAGATTCAAACAAATTCAAAATAATTAAATATTCAAATTATTTTTATAATCAAATAAATTATTTTTTTTCAATAAAAAATAAAAGGATTTTATCCATATAAATATGGGGGCGGTCAGTAGAAAAGGGGGAAATCCACTTTTTAGCAAAATTTTTTTATTGGTTCAATCTGCTGATCATGGTCATGTGAACAAAACTAGCCTCAAAATTTGTCCGCCCCATATGTATCTTGCTTAAATAAAATCCAAAAAGTATATTTATAACTAAAATTATATCTAAATTGACATTGTAAGTGAGATCAACTTTTGTTAATAAAGTATTAATCAAGTAAAATTTTCAAATAAATATAAACAAAATGTTGAATATCAGATTGATGTAAAAAAAATATTAGAATATTGATGATATTGATGATACTTTAGAAATAATTTTTGAGTTATTATGATAATATTATTCAAGAGAAAAGGATGATAATATTAAAGAAGATAATGATAAAAATAAAATTTATTTAAATAAAAAAACAAAATATTATTAGTAAAAAATTATTGAAAGTTTTATATAATTTGTTAAAAAATAAATTTAATAAATTATGTTATACCTTTCTATTAAAAAAAATAAAAATTCAATATAATAATGATAAAATAGAAGAAATACTTTATTATCATCAATATATTATTAATAAAAATATTAAATTAGAAGATTTAGAAAATATTTTTAATAAAAATATATATAAATAATTATTAAAAATTAATTTATTTATAAAAAAAATATTATTTATTATAATATATTTAAACAAAAAACAGATGATTGTTAATTATTTCTTTTTAATAAATAATAATTTTAATTTTTTAATTGAGCAAAAAAAAAAAAATAAAATAAAATAATATTTTTTTTTTAATTATTAGATTAATTTTATTAAAAAATTTGATATATTTATACAAACTTTTATAAATGAAATAAAAAAAATAAAGAATATTATGATAAATGTTTATTAATTTTTTTATATAATTTTTATAAATATATTTTATTTTAGATAGTAGAATAAGTTATAATATATTAATTAAAATAAAATAAATTTTATATATTCTTATATAGACTAATAAAATTCCATTTTTTATAATATTATAAATATTATAAATCATAATTTATATTCAGATTATAGATTTTAAAATTTTAAAAAGTTTACTTATAAAATATAAGTATTTTTATTTTTCTCTAAATTCTAAGAATAAATATATAAAAAAATTCATTTAAATTAGATATCATATATAAATAAAATAGAAATTGCATAAAATTTTAAAGATAATATAAAATATATTAAATATAAATTATTTTTTTATAATTATATTATTTATTTTCTTAAAAAAAATTCTTGTAAATTAATTAATTAATTTTAATTAATTTTTTAATTGATATAATACATTTATTTTTTGAAATATGCTATAAATTGTTTTTTAAAATATCTCCCTCCTGTAATTACATATAATACATATTAGCTAACTTCAAAGATTTTTATAATACATACTTATTATTAATTACCCATTATTTTATATTGATTAACATTTGAAAGTTTAAAGCTGAATTTCTTTATAGATTGAACAAAAGTTAAAAAAATATTTATTAAATAAAATAATAAATACAGTGAATATTATAACTTAGTTATTTCAGTTAATAATTATTATTCTTTAAATATTTTTTTTTTTGTCAATAATCATTATTATGAAGCAAAAAAAAACTTCAAAAATTTTAATGTAATAATCATAATAGTAATATCATAATGATATAATGTGATTTTGATTATTATTTCATAAATAATAATTACTCTTTTTTCTTTATGTTTTAAAACCTTACTATGAAAAAAATTCTTCTAATATTCATGAGATAAGTAGAAAATTTAATATACTACCTAAATAATTATGTAAATAGATAAATAAAAAAGATGATTTAACTAATATTTCTTTAAAACTCTTCAAATTACATAAAAAAAGATCACTAAAGTTTCTGCAATTAGAAAATGTATTGTCAGATTGGATTACTAAATATGACAAAAGCAAAATGCTATTACTTAAATATTAGTAGTTGCTAAAATATTTTCACTTGCCCAAGGTATTGAATTTTAAAATTTTTCAAATATCTAAACAAGTAATTTTCAAATAAATAGCTTAATAGTTTCTTAAATTAATATGATTTAT